CAATACTCATCTGTGCCGAGCATGATTTAAGAAATAGTGGGTTTCCCCTCCTACTGTACATCACCTAGGTCGCTGTCTCTGCTTTCAAGGTCTGACTGGCAAGGACAGAAAAAAGGTGTGTTCTGGCCTAGGAGTTGGCTCGATGATCTCTGACAGGTCCACAGCTATGCTGTGTAGCACCGTGCTTCCCCTTCAGCTGGAACATACATTGCTAGCAGAAAGGAATATGTCTCTTCCGGATGTTGGTCTTGGCCACAGTGACCAGATTAGGCAGGACTCATGTGTTCTGGCTGAACCAGGGCTTTGAGATCTGGGGTGAGGGGCCCTGGGTTTGGCTCACCCCATGCCACCCTGGGCTCTTCCTGATTCCAGTACCAGGAGCTTCAGGTCACTGCCAGGAGGGAAAGAGATGACCTCAAAGGAATTAAGAGAGGTCCACAAACTGAAGGGCACTATGCAGAGGCTTCAAGCAGAGATCACCAACCTCAAGAATTAGGTGGGCACCAACTTGGCAATGGTAACTGTTGGGGGGTGTTATAGAGATTCTTTCCTATTTTTCTGTATTCTCACATTTTCCACAATGAAGGAAGGCTATGAGGTAGAGGAGACAAACACAGTGTGGGCAGGTGCCTGGACTCCCAGGCTCTACTCACTGTCCGCTGTTGACCTTGGCAGAGCACTGCCTTGCAAGACACCATCCTGGAGGCAGAGCAGAAGGGCAAGGAGGCACTCAGAGTGGACAAGCTGATCGAGGTGGAGGCTGCCCTGCAGTGGGCTAAGGAGGACCTGGCCTAGCACTGCATGACTACCAGGAGCTGCTGTGGGACAAGCTGTCCCTGGACATGGAGATGGCCACCCACTTACTGCAAGCTGCTAGAGAGTGAGGAAAGTAGGCAGACCCCAGAAGACATGGATGAGCAAAGGTCCTTACTGTCCTCAGTGACAGGAAGGACTCTATGTCTGCCTTCCCTTCTGTTTTATGGCTTAGATGATTGACTCATTCATTCTGAGAAATGTCAGCTGAGCTTCATTCAGCAGGGGTGTCCCCAGTGCACATGCTGAGTACTGATCCTGGCCCCACCCCAAATTCTGCAAGCATTTCTTTAAATGTTCCCACTCTTGGACAAGAGGGGAACATGGGGGATTTCCCTTCTATTGAGAAAGAGAGAGAAGAAAGGTATTGCTTTCTTCAGCTTTGCCCAAGCAGGTGTGGTTAACCTGATACCAGCCTGGGAAAGTGAGCAGAGGCATATGGGGCAGAGGGGCCTGGGAGAGGTAGAAGTGGCTGTGCAAGTCTTGGAACAGTTTTGACAAGTGACTCGGGGTGAGCAGGGCACAGTAATGACAGCAGCTGCCCTGGCTACTCTCACTTGCATAATCCAGTCTCAAGCTGGGAATTGCAGAGAGTGATCCTCCCAGAGTGAGACTGAATTATGCACTGGGGACCAGGCCTAGGGACTCTTTCCCTCTGCACATGGTTCCCTATTGAGCTCTTTCAGAGGATTTGCTCATATTCTGATTGTCTCTGCGCCAACAGGCTAGCTGGAGAAGCCACTGACACTATGAGCTACTTACTATAAGTAGCTGGGGAGTCTCCTCTGCTGATCCATCAGGGGATGCCCTTCCTTGATGCCTGAGAGGAAGAGGCAAGAGTCTTTCCTGGTGGGTGAGGGTTTGGGTCCTGAGGTGCTGGACCTTGCTCTGCAAGCACTTGGTCATGTGTCCTTGAATAAGTCACTTCTTGTCTTATGGCCCCCCATGGAGGAGATTAGAGAGGCCACAGGGTCCTTTTGCACATAGGCTCTCATGCTGTCCTCCTGGTGGAGGAAGTAGAGGTCCTGCCTTTAGGACCCTCAGTCTGAGGGTAGAGAGATGGTCCAGGTGGATGGAGAGTGTGGGGGGCCTGGTGTTGGTGGCCATTTTTCCTTTATGGGACACTTTAGGAGGATGCTCCTCAGCACCAGGTGGGAGACAGATGTTCAAGGACTTGAGGAGATGCCGGGACTTCAGAGCTGCCCTGAATCTTCCTTTGTTCCCCACATCACTGGTGTCAAGCACAATGTCCACTTCTGGTTTGGCTGCAATTGGCTTCTGCCCAAGCCATTTATAGTAGCTCATAGTGTCAGTGGCTCCTCCAAGAATCTCTTGAAGGAGACCTGGTGCAGTGTCTGGGTCTGTTTCCAAGGTTGTGGGGCCCTCAGCGGACACTGACATCCCCCAAGGGCTCAGATCTCAAGTTGGGAATTTTGGAGATATCAGTTTGGGGCTGGGCAATGAGGCGTCCAGGTCAAGAGAGACCAGGGATCCAACTCAGGGCCCTGAAGCCTATAGGTCCCCCTCCCGGAAGCAACAGCCAGTCTTCCAGCCCTGATTTCTCATGTCATCCATTGACTTAAGCCATCCACAGTGTTCCTACCTGATCTGGCTCTACCTTCACCTTTTATTTTCTTGGTCTACTTGAAATGGGCTCCTGGGTCAAAACCAGTTCTTTTCTTCCCCTCCCTTTATACACCCCAAGTTTTCTTGGGAGAAAATCCTCCCAAGAGTCTTAGAGGGTCTTCAGAGTTTTGGTTGTCTTTGACCCTGCCTCTCCCTGCACCCTGCAGTGCTCAGAGTCCTCACTGTCCCCTTCCATGGGAAGAAGCAAGGGCACTTGTCCTATCTCCAGTCCTGAAAGAGGGGCATGCACTCACTACCATAATTACTAGTCATTCTCAGTTATCCCTAATGGATGTAAGCCTTGGCACTGCAACCTGGTTTTTGAAGAACTTGTTTTTATTTGATTTTATAAAGCCCCATTTGACGCATTTGCCTCCCATGGATTCATAGACCCTTGTAGTCGTCCAAGGAAGGAGCAGAGAGAAAGGTCCGTGGGGCCTGTAGCGTGAGTGTGTGCCAGCTTGGCCTGACTCC